TCATGTAGTAGGCCATGCTACAATTCAAGCCAAAGTTGATTGTATTATGAATTATCCAACTCCTACCAACAAGAAGAGTTTGATGAGTGTTTTGGGAATGGCTGGTTATTACAGGAAGTTTTATACAAATTTTGCTGACATCACTGTACCATTAACAAACCTTTTGAAGAAAAATCAAAAATTCAAATGGTCTGAAACATGGCAATCTGCTTTTGAAAGATCAAATCTTTGTTGTGGACTTACCCTGTATTGATGGCACCTGACTTTGATAAGCCTTTCACATTAGCTGTTGATGCCAGCGATTGTGGCGCTGGTGCCATTCTATTACAATCAGACGACAAAGGTATTAAACACCCTGTTTGTCATTTCTCTAAAAGTTTAATTGTCATCAAAATAATTATTCTATGGTAAAAAAAGAAACACTGGCTCCAGTGTTAGCTTTAGAATGTGTATATATCTGCATCACAACAACCTATTGTCATTTACACTGATCATAACCCGTTGACGTTTTTAAACCAAATGAAGGGCAAAAACAGAAGACTGTTAAATTGGAGTTTGTCATTACAAGAGTATACTTTGAAGATAATCCATGTCAAAGGGGTTGATAACATTTGTACTGATGTACTCTCATGTGTTATGTAATTTTATGATCAAAAGGTTATTTGTATTGGTAGTGTTCTGCAGTGTAATTATTATTGAAGTTTTATAATCCTTTGAATAATTTATTATATATAATCTATTCTTGCCAATGTATGTGTAAATATGTAATATCTTAGTTAAAAATTGTTTAACGCCAATTTTTAATTCTCTAAGGAGGGAGTTGCAACGAATTTGTTATTATATATTTATTTTGATATCAATGTTTGTTTAGATTAAACTTATTGTCAGAAACATATATAGCTTATACTGGTAAATATGTATTGTGAAACTCCCGCCTATTCTCCAAAGTTGTAGAAGATTCTCGAGAGTAAGAATCAACAATATATGCATGTACGTAAACGCTTAAATGTAGCTCAGTATTGTTACGTAATCTGAATTTTCTAGAAAACTTTCCCACGGCTATAAATATAACCAACGCGACGCGCTGGAGAGAATATCTATTGTTAGTTTGCTATAGTCAGTGTGCTATAAACTTCGGAAGCTATAACTGTGATTGTTATAAAGCTTTTCAATCGGGAACTTCAGATACATTGACCAGGAACGTTTATAAATTTCGAACATTATAACTCATTTAACTTCAGTGGATTCACGTCGGAAATTAATACTTCAACGAAAACATTACCTAACTTCAACGGTGGAAACTCAGTGTGTATTGTTGTGTGTATATTAAAACGTATTTGTTTAAAAATGAAAACTGTGTGTATCAATCTTGTTAGCAACTATCATACACTGACTATATACATCGGCTTTTACTTAACTGCTAAATCTAAAGTACGATTAAACTACTAAATTTAAAGTATCATTTAACTCGGTTACAGACAATTTGAAATTCTAATACGTAACAAGCTAGATACGCAAAAGCAAACCATTAAGATATCAGAATAAACCCCCTTGAACTGTGCAACGACATTTTTTATGACTAGACATAATGCTTTCATACATATTTTCATGTAAATTATTTCAAAATTATCGATATAAAAATCAAACAAAAAGATGACTTTTTTATTTTTCATGTAAAAGTTGTACGTTTTCTTCAGTTTACCAAAGTAAAAATAATGTGAAAGTTAATAATGAATATGACTCTTTCTTGTGATAAAAAAATAAATAATAAATACAATAATATCTAAATAACTACAGAGCTAGAAACAGATAATTTAGGTTTTCAAAGTATTTTGTACAAAAGCGCATAGTTATGATACTTTGCTATATTTATGTTAAATGAGTTTCATTTAATTTAAGTTAATTTAAACTTTTGATACAACACGAAATTCTGATCAAAATCACTAGTTCTATTAATCACAGTGAACTTGATAAATGGATAAGAGGGATATTTTGAGGCAACTTATCTTACGACAAAAAGCATCTAACTTGACTGAATGAAGAACTTTTTTTAAAAAGTTTGAGGTGATTTCCATTAATTAATTTGAAAGAATGATATACTGGTTTTCTTTTTCAGGTTTCGAGCAAGTACAGCTTAGCATGCATGTATTAGAGTAGTGTATGGTAGCGTGATCATGGCTGAACTCTGTCCATTAAAACTGGTTCCTTCAAAACGGACCAGAGTCTCTGTATATTACAGAAAATGTATAATTTGCCAGTCGTTAATGAAAGAAAACTGAATTGTGCCACAAGTTCATGAACAAAAAATTAAACAAAGCAGCAGAAACATAGAACTGATGTTGTCCTGGATTGTCTGAAGACCCCTGATACAAGTTGTGATCAAATTTCCTACGATAGAAGTTTTATGCAACATACACAACCTTATATATGCAAAGACTGAGGGAACCACGTCACATAAAGATATAATTACATTATATGCAAATACTAGGGTTACAAGAGCTGCATTTCCTTGTTTTAATAAGACCACATGTACTGTTTATACGAAAAAGAATAATTTAAACAGAGAACATTGTTTAGGGTCGAAAATAACGATCGAAGAGATAATTAGCGTTAGGCAGCAAAACTTCGTAGAGAAGTCGCTATGATGTAAGTGATGCCTTTTATCACAAAGCATGTATAGCCTTTTATTTGAGCAAGAAACATCTGTTTAAACAGAACTTCAATGAAGACCAGCTTAAAGACAAGGAATACGACAATAAATTCCTGATTCTCATAGAATAAAGTGATGAAAATCTGTTGAACATTGCAAGGTATTTAGAATGTCAGCTCTGGTTGAAAACGTTTACAAGCATCTTCCTCGTGACATTACCAACAGTACATCCACTTACAGAAATGAGAAGCTGGAAAAAACTAACAAAGCATTATGAAGATAAAGTTGCCATAAAGAAGGAATGCGGATAAGGTCGATCTAATTTGATTTATAGTAGCAAGGTAAAACTTGGAGATGTGATAAACACTACATCAAATCTAAGACAATAGCTAAAACAAGTAGAATATGATGCAAATATAGAATTGGATTACATGGGACAAAGAATTAACCCTTATGAAACTTTTCACCAAGCTATTTGGATTCCTCACCAAGCAATTAGTAGTGTTAAGCAAACAAACTCCTATCTCCTGTCCAACTCCAAGTGAAATTAATCTGCAAGCTTCAGAAAAATTTATTTCTAAGCGTCTTGCTGTGGTAATGAAATGGCTGATTGGCAAGAGAACATTTGGCTCGGGTGATCTTGGCTACGAAACAACAGATGAAACCAAACGAATATATTTATCGTTAGCAGAATGTGTAAAATTAAAGAACAACAAAATCATTACACCTTTACACTTTGATCGTGCAGTGCAGCTTTAACATAACTATGGGAAAAGAGCTATCATTGATCATAACAATGCTCATCGTTTGTGTATATTCTACAATAAGTTCCAATCTTCCTAGCATCTTCAGCCGAAAAGCAGATGGACGAGAATAGCACATACCACCAGAAATAATACCAGTAACATTAGATGATACATGAAGGTGCTGATAATATAGATACAAACGCTGAAACAAATAATGGGAAACAAACCTTTCAATCTGAGGCAAGGGTTGTTTTTCAAAAAATATGATGTAAAGCATAAAAAAGACATAGAAATAGAAATAGAAACAATTCAACGCCTTAAAAACATATTATTGTCTTTAACAGATGCAAGCACATCATACACCGCTTGCAAACCATTTCAGGTGCCTATCAAACGTACAGAAAAATATCTAAATTGTGTTTTATCTCTCACTTTGTCATATGATAATCTAAATTAGTATGCATATAGTAGATACAACGTTTAACTAATAAAAGAAATCCACAAATTGTATTTATTATATAAGAATATGTTAATATTTTCTATAAAAATTAAATATATATATATTGTTGCGTCAGC